CCTAATTGTATGGGAATTACTACGGTATTAAATGGTCATCCTAAACTTTAGGATTCCTTCCAATTTTATATCTCGTGCATTATAACTCTTTCATTAAGTTTTACAATTGTACCCCTTAATTAATACCAAGTTGAATGTTGCCTTATATATGATTTAAATAATCCGAAAATATGACATATATTTTGATAATTTTCAGGCCACTAGATTGAGAAAATGGAAGGTGGGATTTCATTGTCATTTCTCTCCTGGGACATCATTCTCACCTGAACGGTTCCCTATATATATATATATATATATATATATATATATATATATATATATATATATATATAGGGGAGGGTTCCAGTGAGAAAGGGCTTCCAGGAGAGAAAAAAGAATGACATCTAACCGTCAAATATATGGAATCAAAGGCTAAGAATGAATATATTTGGTTGTGGCAGCCTTGTAATTAAGTTGACCTTTGATTGGCTATTATAATCGAAAAAGAAACGGTTATAGCCTCAAGGATAAACATGTAAAATTCAACCCTATTAATTTAGCTAGTTAATAATAGCCACTCACGTTTCCCGTTTAAATAGGACCATTAAATGCCAACTTTCGTACTCTTACTTTGCTTTCCTTTAATAATTCAGTCATTTAGATTATTATTTTAAATAAATAATAGGCTAGACTCAAAATAGTCAATTAAATAGGTGCACTATTTCTCATACAATTTGCACTTTGGAATGGTGAAGGTTGCACTAGATCTTTCTAATTTGATGTAGCTATTTAATAGGGCCAAATTTAATGCAGTTCAATTATCTTATATAATTTTCTTTCCAAATCTAATATTTACACACATATAATTTGGAATTACTACTTTGTTGATAAAAAATAAAATTGTGCATTATTAATTTTAATATATAATCAATGGACTCCACCTAGATTTGTCCATTTTCACTCCAATATTGAATAAATGCACTTTTCTTTGAAATATTATTGAACGTCAATTTTATTAAAAGTGATTTGTATTTGCACTAATAGCACTTCTAAAAATATTTTAAATAAAAATGATTTGAATTGAAATAAAAATTAATAAGAAATCTACACGAATTGGTGAAAACTATCTACTATCAAATGCATATTAATATATAAAAAAGTGCATTATTATTGCACCTTCAAAAATTTAACATTATCACGTTTTACAAAACGAAATGCACTTTTATAATGTGCAAATAAAGTATATAGAAATGTGCACTATCATATCACACTTTCTAAAATTTTATATTGGCACTTTCTTACAAAACCAAATGCACTTTTTCTCTCAAAATCTATATCTTGTTCCATTATGAACATCATATCCTTTGTTTTGTTGCACTTTCATATCATCCGTCGTGCACTATAAGATAAATATTCCGGAGTTTGTCTTTTTTCTTTGTATTTAAAACTTAAAAGTGCACTTAATAAAATAAAAGGCATGCTCATGTATATTAATAGCAATATATTAAATAAGTTTTAAGAATAATGTGATAAATGAAAAAATAGGATATATAGCGAAAAGTGAAAAATTAGAGTTGGTGAAGAAACTGTATCAAATATTACGAATTCCATTAATATAAGAACTTTATGGATTAAGAATGACATAAAATATGGAGTATATGATTTAAAAAAATAAAATAAAATGAGTGATATCTAAACTATACGTATTATGTCCTAATATAAATAAATCAACAACAAAGAGAAAAGAAGATGTGCACTTATCAACACTAAAAGTCATATTAATAGAAAGAAATTAAAAATGCTAAAAAATAGGAATGGTCAAACCGTTAGAAAGCACATGAACGAAAGGAAACTAACAAATTGCCTATACTACCCATTACGCAATTACTTAACAATAATTTAGAAAAGATCAATCTAATGGTTGTGATGCATTCTTTTTTCTCTCCTAAGATGGTTTTCTCACTTGAACCTAAATCTATATATATATATATATATATATATATATATATATATATATATATATATATATATATATATATATATATTCGATACTAATGTATCATATATTTTCATGATACCAGAGTGTCAAAAGAAGTTATGATATTATAATGTCATAATTTTATGTGATATTTTATTGTCATAATTTTGTGACACTAAAATTAGGAAGTGTTCCCCGGCCAATAAAAAGAAGGATCTTTTTTTAAATGATTGATGTGTCACACCTGTTTGGTGGTTAGCGATTCATATTGCTCTTTCAGAGGTGATCGTTTTTAAGTCTAGCTGTATGTAGGGTTGATTGTGCTAATTGGTTACAGATAGTTGTTGTTAGTGTTGGTGTCTTTGAATTTGTTGTAACGATCTGAATCGTTATAATGATATTAATATAAGCGATTTTTCCTTTCAAAAAAGAAATATCAAGACCCCCCCCTCCTATTATTATTTACCTTTTTTCATGTATTTCATACGTGACATCAAGGTTTCTTTCATGATAAACATATACTCATCTAGGAAAATATCAATGAGACATGTGAAATCCATCATCGCTAAAATTGAAATTAAGTTAGTTTGTGTTAGAGTGATTCTTATGACATTTCCAATTCCTTTCAAAATAATATTAATATCAACTGTTTAATTCAATTTATAAGGGATGAATGAAGATTACGCCAATTATTTCATATGGATATCATGTCACGCCCCGGACCTATCCGGACACGTCAACAATCCGCCGTACAGTACGAATAGTCAACCACAGTCCAACACATTCATACTATACAAGGCGTCTGGGTTATCATTCACACATAGTACATCCATAAACAAACATAATATAAAATATTCATTCAAAGCAGCGGAAACGTTTAATACCAGTGTTCAAGCCACACTTGGCGAAACATGGGCATACAAGCCATCAAATAGTTATTCAAAAGATAACATCCATGAGCATTAATTTAAATGATTTTAAAACAGGAACGGAGGAAGCACGAACCACGTCTTCTTCTCCTGAACTCTCTTGGTGCAACGGCGATGGTAGCAACCTTCAAGTTCTATACTAGTCATTTAATCTTAATAAACCAATGCAAATTCATAATTATTTGAATATTTCAATTTAATTCCACATTCAAGTATACTTGGCTCTAATATCAAAATATCACTTTTATCCTTCCATGACTTTCTTACATGAGGTAAAAGTATATTTATCACAATTTAATTTATACTTTACACACTATTGTACCATTTTATTCATAACACATAATCATACACAATTCATTCATAAATTTGTATATTATGCATTTTTTGCTTATAAACAATAATAATCTCATTTAGGCATTTTTATTAATAATAAATCATGCCAAACACATATAATTCATTTAGGTAATCTTATGAAATTAACCCAATAATTATAAGCAATATAGTCGGTCATCCTCACCTTAAGTGAGCTTAAGCGTGTTCTACGCTCCCCGATCGAACTTTGACTAATTCCGGTGAACTTTGACCAACTCCGGCGAACTTTGACCAACTCCGGCGAAGCTCAAAAATACTTTAATCAAGTTCCTAACAAGGTTTTAACATCATAAAACCTTAATCAATACAAATAACCTCTAAAAGGTTATTTTCCGGTGAACTTGTCGGTTTGGCTTCTAAGTCCGCCTTTGGACGTAGAACCACTCTCCAACCTATTATTCTACATTCTTAGCATGTAGAACAATCTCAAGGGTTCTCCATATGATATACATCCCATATGGTAGAAGAAAAATAAAGGAAAAGTTAATGTAAGGTTATTACCTTAATCTTTTCACACCTTTAGCACTTTTAGCTCCTTTTCTTGGGACTCTTTCTTGGAGAGTTCTCTTCAACAATGGAGAGGGAAGGGGAGAGCTTCTTTGCTATTGCTGGGGGAAGGCTGGCCGCAGGAAATGAGGAGGATGGGGTGAGATAATCCTTTTTGTCTCATTGGATCAAATGAGTGAAAAGAATGGGATCCACCCTATGTACCTTTGATGCTCTTTCATTCAACCCCAACATCTCACACTCCCCTTTTCCTATTCCAGCCGCCCAAAGCCTTGAAAAATGAGGCTAATTTCGTGGGTTGGCCCCCACCCATGTGGGATGTCAACCCTTTTTGTCCAGAAATGTACAATTTGTCCCGAAAGTTGTATTTTTCGGACTGTTTTAATTATATTTTATTTTATCGGGTCAAATAAAATATATTATGTGTTCTCAATCATCATGACCCTTATAGTGAATATACATTCCCCAACTTTAATTTATAGGTCTCCGAAATCCAATTTCGGGCTATTATCCGTTAAATTACCAATACCGGTAATTGAGCCGCTTTTGACCAATCGGTCCACATTGGACCAAATAAATTATCCCCCTCTATATAAATATTATTTCGACCAAGTTGAATAAAATATACGGTCTCGGGAATATCGGGCGGCCCCGCTCCCAGTGTGGGTCCCGCGTGCGAATTTACTATTCACGCAAAAGAAGTATTAAAAATTCACAACTTCGTATACTCATTAACCATTCCATAAGGTTCAACACATTATACTCTTAACAGTAAATACATTTGGGGACGGTGTTACATATCAAAGTACTTTTTTTATATCATTCCAATGGTGATGTATGTTGTACTGGTCATTATCGAGCTATTTTCAGTTAACATGTTCTTTAGCTTGTATTATTTGGTCGGGTGTGTTTGTCAAAGTACAATAATGCATATATTGTTTTGTACGAGGTGTCCGACTCTATGTCTGTTCTTAGGGCTTACGATCGGCTCTGACATAATTGTTTGGATATTATTTTGTATGATTTATCAATATTAATAAGAACCCTTCTTTTGTATTGAAAAAACAAGGCCGGGTTCAGATCTATCTAACGTACAGAATTAATGTGTATCCATACCCATTAAAAGGGAGGATTTCGGTTGGTTCCAGGTCCAGAGCCAAACCATTCAGTGCAGAATTGGGATTTTGTAATTATGATCGGAGAACCGATTGGATCCGAATCGAGAAAAGAATACCATTTGATTTCAACAAGGATAGTATATTCACTTCAATTCAATATAATACACGCATTGTTCCCTTAAATAGAAGAACTAGTTATGACTAAAGGAAGACACTACAAATTAAACTAGATGAGAATGCAATGAATAATGGATGCAGTATATATAATAGTTGTTGACAACGCTCAGTACAACATTGATTGATATAAACAGCAATTCGATCAAACAAGCTAGCCCGGCCTTAACACTTGGAACATTGCTTGTGAATGAAATCCTTAACCTGCTGAATGACATGCAAGGATTCTGGGAGCTGAGGAAAAAGGTAGAAGGCATGAATCATGTTTGGGTACTCCAACAAGTAGGTCTCTTTACCCGACCTCTTCAACCACTCATAGTACCTCCTCTGCCAATCCTGGAGAGGATCAAAGCCGGAAACCACCACCATGGTTGCCGGGAAATCTAGTTTTGATATGTCAACCGCCCTGGGGCCGGACACGTTCGCCACCTCGTGGTCCCGGTCCACCACCATCCCTTCCCCCGTCGCCGGCAGAAATGCCTTCCACGCCCAATCGGTAAGTTCCACCGATACCACAGGATCAACTTTTACTAATCTTCTTTCGGCGGCAGTCCTCTTTACCCCTCCGAAGAATGGTTGTATCGCCACCACCCCAATAACCTTATTATTTCAAACAACATCAACTTTTACAAATAATTACTACTACGTATAAAGCTAAGGTCGTTCTTTACAAAGTACGTGTGACTTCTTAAGCGTTATAACTTATGTTTGATTTAACTTAAGCTTAATCATTATGTTTAATTTAGTTGTGCTGTATCCTTTTTATTTTCACATTTGACAATGTACACGTTTCACCTTTAATATATTTTATTCTTTATTGGTAAAAAGAACTACTCCCTCCGTCCCAGGGAGAAGTTCCCACTTTCCTTTTTTGGTAGTCCCAACAAAAAGTTCCCATTTCCCTAAATGGAAAGTTATCCTACATCAAAACAGTGTCAAACAGTGCAAAACAGTGTCAAACAGTGTTGAAACAGTGCCAAACAGTAAAATATACCCCTCAGTAACTTTATTTCCTAAATATGTGTGAAAGTCAACCCGGGAACTTCTCCCTGAGACGGAGGGAGTATTATTTTAGTTTTTGAAAATTTGAAAGTACGTGAATGATATAAAACTCAATGCGTGTGTTTGACATTTAGCGGTTAAAGCATATGTAGCGGATTATATTAGCGGATAATAACGTATTCATTCAGTGGGTTTGACTACAGAAATAGTTGGCGAGTTGCAAAAAACTGTTTGGTAATTGAGTTGTTTGGCCGTAACATTTAGTAGCTTCTGGCTTGTTTCAAAATGTTACCCTAAAACATTTTTGTTTGCAATATTTTCATTTTAGTAGTTCCGTTCACAAACTCTAAGGCCGAATAGTTATTTACCAAACAACATTTTCACCTATTGAAAACGCTAAAAAAAGATAAATCGCTTTTTTTTTTGTGAAACGCCGTTTTTTTAAACACCCCCAATATCTTGTAACTTGTAAGGAGAAAATAGTTTGTATGTTGAAAATGCTTGGTATACACGTTTTTGTGTACACCTTTAGCGCACCTCGTTTGTACGTACAGAGTTATTTGTATACATACAATTTCTCTATTTAAATACGAATTATTCTATATACGAATAACTCTGTTTATGTAGACAAAGGGATAAGAGTCAAATTGGACACTAGGGTTACACGAGAATCTCATATTGGTGTCAAGCACCTTGTGATCTGATGACATCACTGTTGATCTTTCAAAGAGGAGGTCGCAGGTTCGAGTCTCATCTCAATCAAGGATGTTGGCATTAACTAGATCCGATAATATAATAGGTTTAGAAGGATATGAAAAAAATATATAATCTCATATTGGTCACTAAGATTTCAAAAGAATCAAATCGGACACTATAGTTGCATATGAATCTCATATTAGTCATCGAGGTTTCATAATTCATAGTTTTTGGATACTCACGGTTCTCTTCTACCTTTAATAAAAATCGTTAGTCTTTTTTTGTGAAAATAAACTAATTTAATTGATGTATATCATTTTGGAATATTTAATTTGAGGTTTTAGAATATATAATTTGATTTTTACTAATAACTTCTTATATTTAACAAGTTAAAATATATTTATGACTTTTCGTTCATATGATTTTTATGAAACTTTGAGAAATATCAATTAGTGAAATTGATTTAACAATATTAAAGAATTCAATTACGTAATACATTATAATAGATTTTCCTAATTGGAACATCTAATTATACTCCCTCCGTCCCCCAATTAAGTTTCCAGTTTTACTTTTACGGTCTTCCAGGTGGAGGTTTGACCCTAAAAATCTAAATATCTATACATCTAAAAGCTAATATAAATTAATATTTGAATAGTATATACTCCATGAAGTATATAAAATTAACTTTTTACGATATTGTAAGTTATAAATGATTAACGGTTAATTTTTTTAAAGTTTGACCTAAAAAGTGCAACTATGAACTTAATTGTGGGACATAATATAAATACACGAATTAAATTATTTTTATCTTTTAGGTACATAAAATAAAGGAAAAAAGGAATACTTATAACTTTCAAATGTGAATAATCTTTGGTGGGTGTTCAAAAATGATCAGAAAAGTGTTAAATTGTTAGAGTTCAATATGAAATTCACATATAATTATAATGTCCAATCTACTCTAATCCCTGTAGACAAATAAAATGTGTTAAACGTGTGCATGTATTTGGTGGCCTCTTACCGAGAGCATGTATTTGGATCAGTCATAAGTTCATAACAAGTCGAAATATGTTGTTGAACATGCATTACTAATAAAACAACAGCATATTAATGTCCCAAGTCGCCACTTAATTAGGACAAAACCATAAATGTGAGAAATTAATAGATGGATGGACGCTGCGCTACAGAGGATTCAGGACAGGGCAGAATCAAGAGGCGTAAGAGTGGTCATTCGATCCCTTCAAATTTGGAAGTATACGGAGCTCTCAAATACTCGCTCCCTCCCAAAATTATTGTTCCGTTTAATTTGATCCGTCCCAAAATTATTGTCCCGTTTAATTTTTTACACATATTAAGAAAATGGCATTGTAGCGACACTGTTTGGCGCTGTAGCAACACTGTTTGACACTGTTTTGCATTGTTTAACACTATTTGGTGTAGATTTGTTTGCCAAATAAGAAAGTTAAAGAAACGGGACAATTATTTCGGGACGAACCGAAAAGAAAAGCGGGACAATAATTTTGGGACGGAGGAAGTACTTTTAATTTGATATAGTACGGTTCTGGTAACTCATTACGAGTAAAGAGTTATGACTTCTGAAAAATCATCATTATCTAAACTTAAAATGAGTAAAATTTGATTTGTAATACGGAGTATTAATTATATTCTCAAATTTTAAAAATATCAAATAATTCACTAATTACTTATATGACATGACTCATGGATGGAGCAAAAACAATTTATCTGAGTGCTATGAGTCATGCCTACTCAATAATGATTTTTTATAGTAAGAAATCCCGATATTAAGCGAAGTGAGAGGGAAAACTATAGAGTTTAGAGATAAGGCAAAAGGGTCTCATGCAAGGCAACCACCGGTGTGAAAACCCATTGACTAAACTTGTATAAAACAATTTTATAATATATGTAGCATATGACATATATAAGGAGTATCAATTCTATAACTCTATTAATCTCATACCAGATTTGATAAAGTTTGTATGAAATCCTAAATTATTTTTACTTTATTCCTATTTTTTACACTGCTGCCCCACCAATAAAAAATTCACGCGTCTGCCGCTGCATATACAACATATCTTAAACTAAGTCTAATTAAACAACACTGCATATTAATAATGTGATTGGCTACTTTTGAAAGGTAGATTCTATATATGGTACCCAAAAGGCACCATACCTTTGTTCAAATAGACCAATCAGAATGTTGCAATTGAATTATTTAAGGCTAAATTAAAAATGATACATCTCTTTGGACCAATAATCAAGTAAATGGTAGTTATGATACCCCATTTTTTAAATGGGTACCCGAGTTCTCACCCTTAAATAGGAAGTATGTGACTAAATATTCTTTCGTAAGTTCGCCCGGCCCATGCACCCACGTAATTTAATTTCTATAGTATTTAATTAGGGAAAATGGAAACTAATAATCCAACCTTTTAGCAGTCTTCTTACAATAGTCCCACCTTTTCGTTATTTCAGAATAATCCAACCTTTGCACCTCATCTTCATTCGTTGGTTCCTGATCGGTTGATGACCTGCTATTCCGAGTTATTTTCTTATCTTAGCAAAATATTATCTTTGTCAAAGATGAGATTTATGGTATAATGATTTGCAAAGATAAGAAAATAACTTGGAATAGCAGGTCATCAACCGGTCATGGACCAGTGAATGAAGACGAGGTGCAAAGGTTTGATTATTCATTAAAACAAAGGGAAATTTACCGGAATATGACTAAAACTCAATGAGTTTCTCAATCTATGATCTAACTAGTTTTTATACCTTTGTATGACCAAAAATCCAAAAACAAATAGAAAATCCGTTTATAATTAAATTTTGAATGACGAAAATACCCTTATTTAAAATATGTGCATTTTGCACTAATTTCGTTCAATTAAAATTACTGCACTTTATATTGCCGTTAATGCACAACATTACTGCACAACATTATTGCACAACATTACTGCACATCCGATAATTATCACTTCACTTCCGCCAAAATTAATTCTTTTCTCATCCACTTTATGAAATTATTTATGGTTTTATTTTTTTAGAATATTTTATATTTAATTGAGTATATTGCATTTCATGGCGGCGTTACTGCACTATTGGGCATATTCAGTGCACAATAAAGTTCCTTAATGCATTCATTCAATGCCATGTACAACATGTATATTGTCATATTCACTGTCATAATTATTGTCATGTTCACTGTACTGCCAATTTTCAATGCCCACAAACCCTAAATTCAATCACCATAGTCAGCAATATCTATTATCATGCTCACTGTCCATATTCATTGCCCATATTTAATGCCCACAAACCCTAATTTCTTTTAACCATAATTTCAAAATTAGAAAAAAAAGAATATGGATGGAGGAGGACGGCCATTCAAAAATCCATCTCTATCAACCATTCTTTTCACCCACCAAAGCAACATTATCTCTATAATATATACTACGTATATTCTTTTTCCTTTTTGAAGATGAAGACGTACTACACAACCTCTCTTCCTCGAACAACCACGCTGGATAACTCTTGCGGGACTTGTTGAACCAAGTACCTGCATCGCAGATCAAATCATTGCAGTAGAAGACGGGCCATGGCCTGGACGGCAGCAGCGGCTGGATGAATTTGGCAGACGATCTTGCTCTTGGACGGCGGCTGACGGCTGGCCATGGGGTGGCGGCAGGCAGAGGCATGGGTTAGCTACGCAGGATGGTGGATGGAGGCAGGTCGATGGATCTATGAAGGTGGGAGAGTGGAGGCTAGGGTTGGAGAAAAGAGTAGGAGGTTAGGGTTTTATAAATATAACATAAAGGGTATATTTGTCCACCTATATTTTTTATTTAATTAATTAGTACGAATTTAATTAAATATTAATAATATTTTGGTAAAAAAACTAGTTAAGTCATAGATTGAGAAAGTGAAGAAGTTTTACTCATACCTAAGGTAATTAACTCTAAAACAAAAAGGTTAGACTATTGTAAGAAGACCGCTAAAAGGTTGGATTATTAGTTTCTATTTTTCCTTTGAATTATCATTGTATAGCTAATTAGCTTAAGCTCTCGGAAACTGGCCTCTGATGCCCGTTTAGCCACGTTGTGAGCCAGATTGGCTTCGGCACTATCTCCGGCGATGAAATTTTTTTAACATCTTATTCATTAAGTCTAGTTTACTCATACCAAATTTCAGTTAAAACTTCAATCGAAAATATGTGACCGGGTACTAAATACTAGTATTCTTGTGTAAGTTCACCTCATGCACTACTGATGCACTCACGTAACTTTCTATTTGAAAATTATCACTGTATAGTTAATTACCTTAAGCTCTCGGAAACTGGCCTCCGATGCCCGTCTAGCCACGTTGTGAGCCAGATTGGCTCCGGCACTATCTCCGGCGAGGAAGCAGCGGGAAATGTCAGCATTTCCCGGCAAAATCCCCTTGCTCTGTTCATCGTCGAGGAATTTCAGCACATCGAATCCATCGTCGAACTGAGCAGGATATCGGTGCTCAGGTGCAAGCCGATAGTTAACAGAAACGACCACTGCCATGACCTTGCGAGCGATTCGGCGGCAAACCGCATCGTACTCCTTCGTATCGGCGCTGAGGAACGCGAAACCGCCGCCGTGGAAGAAGACGATCACCGGTAGGGAATCGGAATCCTGGGCATCGGTCGAGGTGGGGACGAATAGGCGGAACCAGAGGTCACGGGAAGGGTCCACGGTGACGTCGGAGGACTTGACGCCATTGACGGGGTTTCGCGTGGGAGGAGACTTGACGATGAACATGCTCAGGAGACGACGATTAACGGTGCCATTTCGTCGCCGAGAGGCGTCGGTAATGGCTGAGTAAGCTGAAAGATATAAGCGGATCCACCAAGGAATGGACGGCTTATGCAATACCTGAGGAGGACTTTGAATATCCTTCTTTACTTCCATTTCCTTTTTCAGTTTATTGTAGGAAAATTCAGCCCACGACACCCCAATACGGAGTACCGCGTACGTAGTTGCTATTAGGAGATAGTAGTATGAGTTTTTCATTGATAAATATGATTAAATTGGAATGTGTTTTCAGAATAAAAGTATGACTAATACGATAATGAATTTAAAAAGAAAAACATCGTGCCCAGCTTTTATAGGGTCCTGCTGTACCAACATAAATTCGCAGAGTTTTGGTACACATCTTCTTAAACCAATGAAAATATAAGAAACTGCCACGACATATCCAAATAATGCACTCATATTAATGTAAATCGAATTTTTTTATTTGCAATTTAGCTTATCACTAATAGCTAAATCAAAGGTCACTATCATTGATGTCTCTGATAATGTCATGAAACATGTCACTATGCTTATGGGAAAAATATCTAGTGAATTTTCTCAATGATTTTTCAAACAAAATATAAAAAATGTCAAAAATTGTTCTGATAACTTTCGTGTTACGGTTTCAACGGTTTGTGGTCTTGTTTTTCAGTGGCGGCTAGGCAGTTGTGGGGAGGGGGCTAGGGGAAGATTGAGGTCGGATACTCCGTATGATTTATAGGAGTGTGGTTGGTCTATTCGGGCCGGGTCGGGTTTGGCTCTACCCGAGAATTACTCGGAACTTCTAGGGTTATGAAAAATGGGACCTGGAAAAGGCCCAATATATTTGGTCTGAGCTGGGGTTCGATCTATGTTCGGGTAGGGTCGTCGGTTAAAGCTCAATAAAATGTTATCACTGTTGTTTATTGGGAAAAAAAGTTTTCAAATTTATTTTTGATGATGATTGAATGAATGACAAGATTCAACATCCATCCGTTCTACTCCGTATTACTCCGTAGTAGAAATATAAAAGTTGATGTATAATCAATAAACAAATTGAAGGCGCACAAGAAAATAGACAAGCGGGCAATCAAAGAAGTGTCAATATCACTTGAAACTGCAGACCCAACCACCTAAAATATACTCCCTCCATCCCCAAATAAACGTCATGCTTTGACTTTCACACAGATTAAGAAAATGAATTTGACTGTTTGACACTGTAACGACACTATTTGGCACTGTTTGACACTGTTAAAAGAAGTGAGACATTTATTTTGGGACATCCATTTTGGGAAAACAGAACATTTATTTCGGGATGGAGGGAGTACTACTTCATCCGTTCATTCCTTAATTAAAGTTTCAGTTTGACTTTTGAAACAAACTTGAAATTAGCAGTATTTATCCCCCAAAAATTATTTAGTATTTAGTACGCTTCATTGTAATAACTATTATTCAAATGACAATTTATTGTAGATTATAAAGGTATATATTTAAAGATAATTAGGGGTGTTTGGAATTGATTCTGTTTCAGCTTCTTTTTTAAAAGTAAAAGCAAAATCAGAATCAGTTTTCAGAAGTTGATCTCCCCTAGCTTCTAAAAACCTCATTCTAGGAGTAAGTTAGAGCCCCAGAATCACTTCTGTACTTTAACTTAGGGCTGGGCACGGGCCGGGTCGGGGCGGGTAATGCAAAATAAAATAGAACCGCCGGTTCCATTGTACGGTTCGGTCCGGTCCGGGTATTACAATTTTCAAAATAGGAACCGGAAATTGCCCGGCCCGTTTGAAACGGGTCGGTTCGGTCCGGGTTTTACGGTTTCTATTCTCATGTCTTGAAATTAGTAAAAACTCATGAAGTTCCAAAAATCAATAATCAATAATATAGGACATTAGCAAGTTTCAAAATAACAACATAGTGGTGCACATGTAATACAAGCGACAAGTCCAATACTCCATAATTTCATGTATATAAGTTTCAAACAATTAAAGAAATTCCAAAAATATGCAACCTAGTCAACATACATATTTTCTAACATTTGTATTTAAACATGTTGTCTAAATCACATATTCAAGTGATTGCTTTTTTTTAATATTAAATTTTCAGTATTAGCCAAAGTTGACACATACATGGTGGGTGGTAAACACAATTTATATATTTTAAGAACAATATAATAAAAAATATAACAAAATCATTTTTAACAAATAATTAAATTCCATTGAAAGGAATAATTTAATAACAATAAAAACTAATAAGATATTTATGAAACATTTAATCAATAATTTGAAAACAAAAGGATGTTACTCCAACTCAATTTAATATATTATCACAAAACTATTTCAAAACCGATTATCACAAAACTATTAATAAATTAATATACAATATATATAACGGGCCGGGCCGGGTACCCGTTATTTTTTAATTTTGGAACCGGTCCGGTTCCTTAAAAAAAATTACCCGACCCTACCCGGACCGTTTTATGGCAACAAAAAATGGAACCGGCCCGTTTTGGACCCGAACCGCCATTACCCGGACCGGACCGCGGTTCCAAGACCCGTTTGCCCACCCCTACTTTAACTCATACACTTCAACTTCGGCTTCTGCTCTCTAAAGGAGCAAAAGAAGTTTTAAGAATTAGATCCAAACACCCCCTTATTGTCAAACATCCGGCTAGATGACCGCAAAGTCAAACTGGGGCGGAGTATTGAAACTTCAAATCACGCTCCAATTCAGAGATTAATTATAAAGCAACTACTCCGTATATGTCAATTTCCATCCGAGGAAGCGGTTCAAATTAGTTGGTCGCTGACTCACTCTCCTTTATGGGAGGTCACAAGTTCGAAACTCAATGGGCTGATTTTCAGCCCAGTTTACTCCAACCCTCTCCCTCAGATGCCCCTGAAGTAAAAAAAATGTCAATTTCCATCCGTTAGCTTTTACCTTTATACTACGTACTCCGTATGTTATGTGATTGATTTTATACTACAATCAGGTTCGGGTATTAAATGTTTAAGAGAAAATTTTTTAGCTACTTTTGTTTGTGCAATACACATTGTTTTTTATTAAAATTCTAATACTTTCTTTTGTGTAACTATAGTCTCTACTCAAATCAAACATCAATTTTAATATTTTCGACTTGTGAGTAAGAGTCATATTATAATTAATTCCATACACTCCGTAAAGCTTTGTTTCATTTTCGTGAAATAAAAATTTATGTTGTTGGTTAGACCTTTCTAAAATCAACAGCAGTGAGATTTTTGGTCTACCTTACCTACCCTCTTGAAAACAATAGAGATTTTTTGTTGATCCTCTTGTCAAATCAGCAAAATTATGAATTTGTCCTTTGTGAAATGTGGTGGGTGATTTCCCTCATATCAATATGGACCATATTAATTAATTTTGATATATTAAATGAGGTGTCCTTAAGTAGATGAGTATGATTAGCGGGATATGTAAAATATACTATCCCCGTTTTTTTTAATCGCAACGTTTCTTTTTAATCGCAACATGTTGAATTTTACGCTATTCATAGGCTCTACTTTGACTAAATTTTACGCTATTATTTTATGAAAATTATTTTTTTTAAAAGATATTGTTCAATTCATCTCATTACAAAGTTTCAAAATCTGACTATTAATTTTTTTTACTAATAGAGATTAAGATATAATTACGATCAAAGACATGCGTTGGTAAATGTGAAATGTTGACCGTTGTAACTAAAAAAACGGAGGAAGTACAAATAAGATACGGAGTAATTAATTAAAATCTATATGGCACCTGGGAAGCCCGGGCAGGGCCGGCGAAACTAGGAGCAACCGAGGACATACACGGCGCATATTTTGTGAAAAACTAATTTTTTCACAACAACTTCATCACCATTTTATTGTCTGAGTTCAACTTAAGAGCATATATTCACACAAATCACACACTTTTGGATTCCTAGATGTGTATGAAACCATAAATATTTCAAATATAGCCTTATGTCCTTGCAAGTTTTTTGGAGTACATAATGCAATTGTTTCGTTGGGGCTTTAAGATTCTTCAATAAATTACAAAACCAATTATGTAACAAAAAGTTTTAATACGGATATGTTCTGCATGTGTTCATCAAAAAATTATGATGAACTTTCAAACACGTCATATAGAGAGAAAACATTCAAAAGTTAAAACACAAATCAACTAAAAATATCTTGTTAAAATATGGTACTATTTTTTAAAAAATGAATGAGGACTGCTAAAAATTTAATATAAAATCCTAAAGGCTAGATCAAATAGTGCGTTAACTCTCTAAGTTCTAAAATGAAAATGTGTGTTACTAATTCAATACGTAGTATTATAGAGAGCATGTATAGATCAGAGCAAGAAGAAAGCTACACTCAATTATTCATTTGTAAAACGTGACGGCTTAATTCAAGAGATTATAGAAGCTTGGAGCTTGTAATTAACCAAATTCATCTCCTTATATCACCATTTTTGTCTTACATAAAAGTAAGTTGAATATCCAAGGAAAATCAAATTAACAGAGAACTCCAAAAGATAATTAAGCCAATCTGACTACAAAATGAAACTCATACAACGCCTTCTAAGTTTCACACACTTTTTTGATCTATTAACTAATGGAAAAGAATATTTCAAATAACAAACAATTTGAAGAACATAAGGAAAGAGATATCGCACTACAAGAAATGTTACATTTGGTGACACACATTTTTATTGACACATACAAAAGTGTCACAATAGCAATGTATATAATGACACTTTGTGTGACAAGAAAATATATTAGATTGTTATTGAGTTCATATAATGTTATCAATGCATAACAAAAATCTAACTTTCTTCACTAAACTAAATAAGTACTTCGTAGTTGTTTAGAAAAATATAAATTAGTTTTGCCGACACTTTAAACAATCAAAGGAATGCTCAAAAAGATTTATGGAATATATAACAAATGAAATGAATGAGTATCTGGGCCGTTAAACGAACATTTACACATTTCAAAAACCAAAGTTCAATGGTCAGCCTATGATTCTATGAATCTGGCCTTTTCACGTAAGATTGGCCGTCCTTCTGCAAAACCGCTAATCAGGTCTAGCGGCTCTATGGCGCTCAACACAGACAAATGTAGGGTGTGTTTCGGAAAATAAAGAAAATTAATTAAATAAATTAATTAAATAAAATGACTAGAGAAAAACAAGAAAGGAGATGAAGCAGAATTAGTCAAAGCTCGTGCTACGCACGATGTCCTTAAAACGTATTTGTTGCCTCCCACGGTGCTAGGAGCGTTGCAACAATCGTTTCCCAGGATACGATGACTACGAACTAATGTTTGAGCACACAAACAAAAGTTCCAGCGAACGAGAACAAGTCTGAACACAGAA